GAGAGAGAGAGAGAGAGAGAGAGAGAGAGAGAGAGAGAGACAGAGAGACAGAGAGAAACGCGTCCGTCGATTGGCCGCCGTTGAGGGAGGAGGAGGACTTGGAAAAGTTAGGCACGGGGTTATCTGCAAAAACAAAGAAAAAAAAACATGACAAGATCCTCCTCCCCAGAGCACACCTTCATGCTGTTGCCACTCCTGTTAGGTGTCATAAGCAGCGACGCCGCTCTGAGCACGCTCGATCAACTTAGGACCGACCGAAATAGGTGGAGGATACACACACGGCAGTATATGCAACTCATCGTTCCGCGCTACTACTGTAGCAAGTTGGAAGATACACAGATCCAGAACACGATCAGAAAATTATCAAAAGCAAGACTTGTTCGGTGAAATTTGGAAGATACACAGACCCAGGACACGATCAGGAAATCCACAAAGCAAGACGTAAGCTGAGGAAGCGGACGAAAACGCACCCTGACAGAGTTGTGAACAAGCTCGTCGCAGACCACAATATCGCCGGGCTGCGGGAGGCATGACATGAGCCCCAAGTTAGCGTCGTACCCGGAGTTGAAGAGCAAGGCCGCCGGCCGGCCGTGGAAGGGAGCGATCCACCCCTCCAGCTCCTCGGCGTACAGGGAGTTGCCCGACAGCAGCCTAGACCCTCCCGACCCGACGATGGGAAAGCTGTCCCCATTGTCGTAGCCGCTGTCTGTGGTGCTGTCCCCAATGCTGTTACCGTTAGTGGTGCTGCTGCCGTTAGAAGCGTCGCTGTCGGTCCCTGTCCAGGCAGGTCGCTGGCGTGTTCTTCGGCGCTCCGCAGTTTCCTATTGGACGAGTTTCAGTGCGTTCGTTCGTTTCGCAAGGGCAAATGCGTGCGCAAGAGGCTTGTTAGTTTGTCTCGTCTGTCTTAGGGTTTTATGCCTATCTCATGCATTGCGGAACAGGAGCAGGTGTTGTAAATCAAACTTGTGTATGCATGTGCACATTTCAATGCATGTGCACATTTAAACGGCTGCATGTACATATATATGATTTTGCGTTTCGGCCAGAAACGCTTCGTTCTTCACAAACGGTACATTTCCGTTTCCATTTCCGTCTGGACCGCTCACAGGCGAGCATTCCGGTTTTTTGAGATCTCACAGGCCGCCATTGATCCGACCCATTTCACCTAGGTTGAGATTTCCGGGTTGTACTTCCGTGATTCTCCCGCTTGATTCTCCGGTTCTTCGCGCGTTCGGATTTTCTGAAGCTTGCGAGGCTTTGCGCAGCTATATCTTCTCGTCCCCCACGCACACACCACGCGCTCCACAGCCCACCCACTCCACCCGCCCTCGTTCCACACAACGGCAGCACACTTTTTTTTTATGCTTTTGCGGCACATGTATACTTCCTTTTTTTGCGGTACATGTATCTTTCCTTTTTATCGCGACCTTTGTTGTTATTGACTCCGTTCCCGTATGCGCCTGTACCTGCTTGAGTTGGTGGCCTATTGTGTGTTATGTTTTGTTCTTCAGCAAGCAAACACGGAAACGAAACATTCACCAGATGGATCACTTGACAACAACGGAGAGACGGACTCACCAATTGGCTATCTTAACGCAGGAAAGTGCTTCGATAACCCCGCCCTATTAGGTTCTTCAACATCGTCCTGCGCAAGCTGTCTACTGTTGTCCGTTCTTCTCTGTGGTCAAATATTCAGCCTGTTTGTGGTATTCAGCGTCTCTCGGTCTGCATTATCCCGATTGCTGTTATCTCCGTTCCAATGTCTCCCCTACTGTACCATGCTCAATCCCTGTTCCCACCTCTCCCCTTCTTTCGCGCATCTTCTTTCCACATGCTGTTTTCTGCCCATACCTCCCCTTCCCCGGACTCCGTCTGTCTGTCGTTCCTTCCTTTTTCCCGCGCGAAAGCTACCGTGCTTGGGCTGCACAGAGTCTACCAACCGGGTCGGCTTCGCCATCTCTACCTACCAACCCAACGTGACCGCCCCCCCTACCGCCCAACAAACCTCTACACGCCAAGGACTGTCAAGACAAGGAGAGCACACCCTAACCCGGGGGGGTCACGTTGGGTTGGTAGGTAGAGATGGCGAAGCCGACCCGGTTGGTAGACTTTGTGCAGCCCAAGCACGGTAGCTTTCACGCGGAAAAAAGGAAGGAACGAGAGGCAGACGGAGTCCGGGGAAAGGGAGATGTGGGAACGGTTTTGACAAAACAATCCTGACGCGTGGCGTACTGACGATTGAGCAGTGTATATCGGCCCGAAGAGCACAAGTTCCAATACCCGCTCCTTTCTCATCCCGACAACATCGTGTGCAACCATTACGAGCCATGCCGTCAGGAGAGAGGAGGCCATTAGCTGTTATAACTACGGACAACGAACTCCGTTCCCAATTTGCCCCCCGGTACCCTCCGTATGTTTCGAAATATCGTGCAGGGCAAGCTAGTTTAACACGTTGATGACATGGCGCCTGCTGGCGCCAGACACTATTAGGTGGAAAGGCTTCTTGTGACCCTCCAACACCGACTTTGTGGCGAATGATCTCGGAGAACTGTCTTCTCTACGGAGCGGCGGCCGACTACCGCAGGCATAGAGGAGGGTTCGGTCAGCATCGAAACACTTGCGAAAAGACGCTTCGACCTGACCACAACCTCTCCTTACCCCGCTTTCTTTAAGTGAGCCTCCGGGAGATGCGTCGAAACCGTAAGCTTTCACAGAAACCATCCAGAAGTACATGAGGGACTCCAAAACCTGCTTCTACCTCGCCCGGGGAGCATCGTGCCCACACATGGTCCAACAATCCTTCTGCAACAGCCACGCACAAGGTACCTCTGAGTGTGTACCCAAACTTAAGGCGTGGTGATTGCGCCCGTTCATCTTTCTTACTAATAGTTTGAGCTCCTGAAGATCGCCGAGGAGGGTGTTGGAGTCCACCCTAAACGTGCCTCGTTTAGGCAAATTCAGGGTGGACTCGGATACCCTCCTAGGCGATCTTCCGGAGCTCAAACTGGTATCTTTGGTATCTACCCACACTTAGGCGTGGTGATTGCGCCCGTTCGCTTTCTTGCTAGTTTGAGCTCCGGAAGATCGCCGAGGAGGATGTCGGAGTCCAGCCTAAAAGTGCCTCGTTGAGGCAAATTCAGGGTGGACTCGGATACCCTCCTAGGCGATCCTGAGGAGCTCAAACTCATCCGGAGGATGAACGGGCGCAATCGCCACGCCGAAGTTGGGATAGATTCCAAAAGGTACCTTCCGCGTGGCTGTAGCTGAGAAAAAAGTTGTTGTACCATGTGTGGGCACGATGCTCCCCGGGCGTGATGGAAGCAGGTTTTGGAGTCCCTCATGTACTTTTGGATGTCTTCTGTGGAATACTCCGGTTTCGGCGCGCCCTCCCTACGTTGGCACTTCGAAACGTCTTGTCGCAAGTGTTTCGATGCTGACCGAACCCTTCTCCACGCCCGTGATAATCGCCCACCCCGTAGAGAATGGCAGTTCTCCGAGATCGTTCGCCACAAAAGATAGCGGATGAAGCTGGTGGCACGTGGCCTTACAAGGAGGCTTTCGGGAACGGATGTTAATCAGTAGCTTGAGTCAGTATATTAATCTTGGTTTTAGAATGGGGTACGGGGTGGGGGGAAAAGGTTAGTTATGGTTGGACAGGAATACGAAACCTCCTCTTGATTCATACCAGTAGTAAATACTAAGTGAAATCACTGCATGTATGTACGTGGACGTTGTTCGGGGGTGGTGTATTGCCTCGAGTACCTCTGTAGTGCAGGTTGACATCCATTTCATAGCCATTGTGTTGCCATGAGGGGGGAATAGGGATAGCTTCTTCTTTGCTTCTCCTACCACCGTGTCGTACAGTAGAGTGCATCATGTAGAACTTCTTGACTTGGCGTTGCCATTGGTGTCAAGTGGCTTTGCCGCGTCCTGGTGTCAGTGACTTCCCGTGTCCATTCGTGTGCCTTCAAGACCGACCGTGTCGTGCAGTACATATACATGGAACATTTTAGTTTCGTGTTTCCGTTCGTGTGTCGTCAGACCATGCCTAATGCCAAAGAGTAAACGCCTCTCTTCCCTCCGTCGTGGAGCGACCATCGTTCATTCTGCCAGTTCAGTTGATGCCAGAAAGGGCAACACCCATTCGTCGAGCGCCAAATAACAAGCGTCTATTGCGGCATGCTTTTCTCAGCGTGGCGGCGTAAGCCGCCTAAAGGCGCCTAGCACTTGGTACACCAATACTCCGGACTTTACTTATTCTGCATCCTGTCATCTCGCATATCATGCATACATGGTAGGCACCTGTATTCGTGATGGTTTCTTGTAGCGACGGTAAATAAATGGTATTAATAAGGCAATTTGGGAGAGGGGATATGGTGCCGTGGGATACAGCGGGATTGGTACCCCAGGTACATGGCATGTTCGTGCTGAGTGGGGCGCACCTTAAGTCAAGGCCGTACTACTTGCTGTGTGCGTCCGTTGTTTTTTTCATAGTCTACCCCTCCTGCAGCGGACATGCAAAGTTGATGTCATACATACGATACGCATATCATGCGCGCACATATGCATGTCTCGTAGATCGTGACGTGTCCGATGACCTGTCGGAGATTTATCTGGCTTCCGGGCTCGGGATGTTGCCACAAGTATAGAGCCAGTGAGCTTGCTGGATGTGGCAACAACAACCACGAGCACAGAGGGTGAGATCGCCCCTACGCTCACCGCTGTACACGCTCTACCTCCATAATATCTAGCCTAGACGGTTTCGTCCGTCCTGATTCATCCCTTCCCCCCCTCCCTTACGATGAGAGGGCAAGCCTGCCTGTTGTGTGCCACACGCCACATGAGCGCAGAGGGGGCCAAGAAAAAGCAGATTCATACTCCGTTGCTGTCCAGCTTTCCAGTGCAAACTACTGCTGTACTCACAAACGGATATACTGCTGTACTCTACACATGATGCAGTTGGCAACGCGTGCTTCGAGTTTGTTCAAAAGGTCATCTGTACCTCACAGGACCAAAGCTGTTCTCTCTCAATGTTAACTGCTGTTATGGGTATCTTGCCTGCCGACGAACAGCGCGCCAACGACCTGCTGCTTGAAAGTGCAATGTAGGTATTTAATGCTCACGTACGTTTGATGCCGTGAGGGACGAGAGACACCACCAAGAGCACGAGACCATGAGATGAGACAGATAACCCGGCCGATCAATCGGGATTAACACAAGAGGTCTGTTGCTTCCGCGGTGAAGGCCAGTGCTCAAGCCAAAGCGCTGCTGCTACTGTCCATCCATCGCGTCTAAGGCTATGAGATCGCAGAGCATGCCCGTTCTAAAATCTTCACGTACGTGCGCATCGATCGTGGCGCACAGAACACAGAACACAGACCTTGCGAGCTCTCTCCGCTTCCAGCTTGGCAGCTTGACGTAGATCCGCCGCACGCCCCAGCCCGAGGTAGTCGTTGCTTGTGAAGTCCACGAAGCACCGGTCCTGCTCCGGTGTGCGCAGCTCGCGGAGGGTTCCCTCCTCCCGCCGCCTCGCCAAAATCTGTCTCATCCATCCCTCCGGGTCCATCATGCACCGTCCTTTGTGGTGGCAAAGAAACCACAAATCAGCACATTTTTCCGACACACAGAGAGAGGACCGAGAGACACGATGATGCAGCAGGTGGTTTTTGTACCTTAGCAGAAGACTGTACCTTTTCATATGCAAAAGTGATGCCTTGTAAATAGTATGATATCTTTTAATAAAATACCTTGTATCCCCGGGAGTTCCAATAGTCGAATGTCTGTACCCTTTTCCTGTCCACCTTTTCCCTGTTTCTCGGCCTCCCTCTATCTCGCTCTCTCTCTCCCGCTCTCTCTCTCCCTTTTCGGACACACGCAGCAGCCGTACCGCAGCAGCACACGGAAGTCAACCCGAGCCGACGCCGCGCAGCCCTCAATCCACCACACCCAAGAAGCCTAGTGGGAGCTAGGAGTAGCTAGATCTGTGAGCGCCGCCCGCTGCGAGAGCACCATTGCTCGCTGCTGCTACTGCAGTGGGTTTCCCAAGACTCGTTCCAGCAGCAAAGGACAACACCACCTTCTTGCCAGGAGTGCGCTCGCAACGCGCCTTCAGGGAGCACCTCACAGCGCGCGCTAGGCCAGGTACGTGTGTTCTCTGTGTTAGTCCATGGGAGGAGCCGCGGCACGCCCGTGAGTCGAGGTCTGCTTGAGTTTTGGCAGTGTCTGCCAGGAGGTTCCGCCTTACTTGCCCGCAGCTTTGCTCCAGCAGGCAACAACGCCGGTAACGCTCTCCAAACCTATTCACCACCAGCACCAGTAGCAGCGGTGGTCTAGGGCGACGCTCCGGGCGTGCTGCTGCAAGCAGCCTGCGGGCGCGCGTGCTGACGAGCCCGGGCGCTCCGCAAGCCCCCTCTTCCTGCCCACGGGCTCCGCGCGAGAGCTGCCGCCTTTGAGCATTTTTGGGGTGAAAGGTTGATGACGGTTTTGAGAGCGCGGTTTTTTTCTCCCCCATTTGCTGCGTCTCTCTCGCGCACTCGCACACATTGATGTCTGTCCTGCTGCTGTGGCAGAGCCAGCGACTCCGTTGCCCTACTTGCTGACAGCGCGCAGCACGGCTCGTGAACCTGACCGAGTCGCCAAGACCTAACATCGCTCACGCCCGCTGTCCCTCTCAAAGGACTCCGGTTTTTCCGGCTGAACGCAGGCTGTCGTTGCACACAGCTCAAACACTCGAAAACACACAGACGCGCAAAAATCGAAAAATCAATCGGCCTTTCCGCTCATTGGCAGGTCTGCCTCCACCTTTTGTACTTCGAATGTTGATCTCTACTTTCACTTGCCGATTCTCTGCTCGCTGCCCCTCAGGAGGCGCAGGCACGCTCTCAAGAGGCCTCGCCACCTTCCGCCTGAGTGTTGAAAGGAGGCACAGCAGCAGCAACAACCTCTGCTGGCATGCTGGCCAACGGCGGAACAATGATCAACCCGGCAGCAGCAGCAGCAGCAGCCGGAGGAGCGGGGGGGGACATGCTCTCCCACCCGGATGACCGACGAAATCTCGCCGCACCTTCTTCTTCTTCCGGGGGTGGGGCCAAGATACCGGCTCCAACCACATCATCATCGCCCCTTCGGAAGACAGCGGACGATGAGCGGTCTTCTCCTCCTAAGGCCGGCGACGGTGGCGCAGCGGGCGCTGCTGTATCATCATCGTCGTCGTTATCAGCGAAGCGGCCAGGGCAGTCGAAGAAGGAGGGCGGTGGAGACGGTGGCAACAGCAACAGCAGCAGGGCGACCACCGATGCCGCCAGCAGCCACGCCAACAGCAAATCACCGACTGCTGGCGAGGCGGCAACAGCAGATGCTGCTGCTGCTGCTGCTGCTGCTGCTGCTGCTGCTGCTGCGTCGAAGGAAAGGATTCACGACCATTACAGCAGCAGCACCGCTGCTTCCGCCACCACTAACCCGTCAACAACTCAGCGGCACGATGATGCACGAGAGTCAAGCAACGGTGACCAGCCGTCGGCCAACATCAAGCCCGCAGGGGAAGGGCAGACGGATGCCACCCCGGCAGCAATAGCGGGGCTCCCCGCAGAATCCGATCCCGGTCAGACACGCGACATCGCTGCTGCTGTTGGCGGTGTCGACAAGAAATCATGGGCCACCACCCCGAAGCAAGCGGCCGCAGCGGCAGGGGAGAGCAACAACAACAAGCACAAGCCGCCGCGGCTCGCAGGCAGGCCGCCTGCTGTCGTGGGGGCGGCGGTAGCGGCGGCGGCGGCGGCAGCGGCGGCGGTACCGACAGCGGCGATAGGAGAGCCTTGTTCCTCCTTGATGGCGAAACGGTTCCCTCAGGAACAGCGGCGGCAAGAAGAGGAGGTGGTTGGAAGCCCGAGCACCCCGCCGCAGCAACGGGAGCAGAAAGAGCGGGACGGAGGAGGGATTGCTGGGATGGACGTCGATCAGGGCGAGTCGGGTGGAGCGCAGCAGCAGGTGTGTTGTTATTGTGTGTTGCGTCGCGTACTGCTGTTCCACTTGTCGTACTCGTCTCCCGTGTATCATGTTTGAACGCGAACCTGCTGTGTGTTGGTGTGCATGTGTTCATATAATCAGAATATATATTTACCTACTTGCTTCCGTGTTGCGTGTGTGATGGTGCCATTTTTTTTTTTCTCCCATCATTGGACTCTGTCGTCTGCCCCTCTGACCCCTATCCTCCACTTCTACTAGCTAGACGACCCAGCCGGGGTCAAACAGGAGGGGGGGGGTTGGACCCCCTCCTGCGGTTCCTGCCTGAGATATATTTATCGCGACAAGGGTGGTGTGAGTGCTGTGGTGGATTAGACCGAGAGGCAATGTAAGTTGTAAGTACCCTCCCTGCCTGGTGTTTTGTTTTCCGTCTCCCTCGTGCCCATCACGTCGGCTGCACCTCCCTATCAAGCTTTCCGCCGGGATTTTCATGCACCGGTTTGGCTGCGGCGTCCATCTCTTTTTTGCACGCAGGCACTCTATTTTTCTTGATATGACATGTGCACTTTCCCTTTTGTGATCTGTTGAGGTCACACACGTGGCATCTAAATTCATAAAACATGCGCGAATATAATTACGCGATTCGGGAAAGTGTTAACGTCCACAAGCTAGGAGGTTCGAAAGAGGCTACACTATGTGTTGGCATCCACAGAGCCTGCACTCAACACCGCACTTGGTCGACTTCTGTGCTTGTACCATACACTGGGCCGATTGCCATAATTGTCTACCCTGAGAGAGCTGCGGTCCCTGAGAATCGGCTTTGTGGTTGTTGTATGTGTGCGCAGGCGCCGTGAGTCGATTATCTCACGGCCAATACTCCACCATAATTGCTCGCAGGGAATATGTCGTCGATTGTTGTTGGCGGTTGGGCATTAGCGTTCATACCTCATGTATATGGACAAGTATGTGTTTGCTTCTTTTTTTTTTTGTACGTAAACCGTTCTTCCGGCCGGGATCGTTCTGTAGAACCCGCATTTTTTCAAACCTAAGACGCTCTCATCCGTTACAGAACTACCGGCCTCTAGTTAACACGCAACCCAAAACATACCCTCAAGCTATCTCCTCCCTGTGCATGTACGCCAAGAGTGAAAAGAAAAATAACAAAATTGATTTAAGAAGGACGCGACGTTGTTACGTAATTGACGAAAAATTCCAGCAGCAGCATCAGCAGCAGCAGCCCGGGGGCGACGCAGATGCGGGTCCGTTTTCATCCCCATCCAGCGTGCTAGAGGACCCCCCCCTGGGGGAGGGATGGGATGAGCACGGGAACGACCTCTCCAAGGCTGCTAATGACGTGAGTACACGATACATGCACTAGAGTGTGTACATGCATGCTTGTACGAGTGATTGTGTCGTGAAATACAAAGCAGCCCAAGGGCCAAAGGCGTGTACATGCCTTGTTACGCGATGGACGGTTGTCAAGAAAATGAATCACCAGCATGGACAAAGGTGTTTACATGCCTTCTTATGCGATGAACGGTTTTCAAGAAAATGAAGCAACAGCACGGGCACCAAGGCCAAGGCGTTGAAGCATACACTACCATCTGCCAACATTTGTTATTGCCACAGGCTCACTTACAGTAGCCCTGTGCGGACGTCGTTAAATTTTGTGTTTTCATGGACGAAACTCTTGTAATTTGAATGCCGCACGTAGGATTCAGTACCTTGGTCGACCGAAAAGTTCTTGGATTGAGTGAGATTGAGGGTGCAGGCCAATTGCATGTGCGGTTTCTCGTCCAACGACTTTGATGGTCCGAATGCTGGCCCAGATAACATCATTAATGAGAAACCTGTAGCACAGCATCTAGGCACTACCCTTCCTCTCCATGTTAACATGCCTGTGTTTGGTCGTTCACCACACGCTGTTTGGGCACTCTCTTGTCCAGGCTGTCCGCAAGGTGCACTGTGAGGCGTGGATAGCCAAGCTGAGGCAGGAGGCAGCTGCCATCCGGTGAGTCTTCTCATTGCTTTCTTTCGTCAAAAAAACATGTCGCATAATATATATGCACCACAATGTAGAAACCAGAATACAGATCGCATTAACGCTACGTGGCCTCAGCACTATCCATCTGCTGTACCGAGGGAAATCGTTTCCGTACCGAACGTTGTCCACGCACGGCTGTCTGTGCTTACCTGTGTGCTGTTCCTGCTGCCTCCCTGTGCGGAACGTTCCGCACTTGTCAACGGTACGGAACGACGGGACGAGTAGAGCTGGCGACCACCCGGCTGTGATGCGGAGATCTAAGCTCACCATGAACGCCAGCAAGCGAAGGGCGGAGATGACCAAGAGAAGCGCCAAGAGACAGGCAAGTACCCCCCC